ATGAAGTTGAATCAGAGACAGAGCCTTACGATCCTTCCGCTTATCTTCAGCGGTCCATGACTTCTGCCCTTTTCCTCCGAAACCGTCCAGCGCCTCATCAAGATCCAAAGATTGTGCCAGAATCGCCCGCATCTTGACTTGCCACAGTGCAAATCTCGTCTTGTAATCCAGCAGCGGTAGATCAAACTTCATCGATGCCATCGCGAAACCCTAAGGTTAAACCAAGCTCTGATACCACTTGTTATAAACGATAGGCAATATAAACGACAAAGAACAGTAGATCAAGCACAGAGGACATGAGATTTTAACATGGAAAACCCTCCCAAGGTGAAAGGAAAAAACAACGGGCACCAGCCAGCAAATCTTCACTATATCGGGTGAGGTTACAAACATCGGAGATTTACAACTTGGGGATACCCTAACCTAGGGGCCTTCCCGTATAGAAGTCTATGATACATCTTTTCCATGAGAGAGGTGGTCTGTATATATAGGGAGGAAAAACCCCACACTCTCGTCTATTAGCAATACGAAACTAATAGATAGTGTAGTCTCTCTTAACGCTAATGGGCCGCTTCGCTTCGGCCCAAGCTTGAATTTGGATCATAGCTCAACAGCCTAGGCCTTCTCTGCCACTAGAAACCTTCGCCCGTTTCCATGGCCGCGCCATGGCCTTTGGGGAGGTGGAGTCGGGTTGGCATTCCAGGCGGCTGCAGCTGGCCAACAGCCAAAACAGACATTGCTGGCAAAACAACGCACGTGATTCTCCGATGGCGAGCGAGACTTCCTATCATATTCTAGTGATCGAGCTCTGCGGGATCAAGAAGAGTAAATTTAGCGACAGGCTTGGAGTGTTGGAGACATATTAGCTACATTTGGCTTCACAAAGTTGCCGTTTACTCATAACTAGTGAGAACCCCGCGGCAGTTGCCGCGGGCTAGGCAGACTCAGTTTACATAAGCATCATTGGTTTGTACATATGGAAAATTAAGATACACAACATATGCCTGAACGAAAACTTTCATGATATAATTGCACGATGATGTTAGAGAAGGACCTTAATCTATTACTGATACTCAGTTAAAAAACTGATATGTTCTCGGTATGCTCGTTGTACCAGGAACATGTCTCTGTTTAACATGTGTTTCACTCATTGGTTACCGGATCTTGTATCCTTATCCCCCTGCGGACTGGTAAGGCAAATTACGACCATTAAGGCCTTGTTTGGATGTAGTCAGATTAGCGTCAATCCACGTGTGTTGGGATAGATTGGAGTGACACTTGAACTAAATTCAACTCCAACACATGTTGATTAAGGGGAATCTGAAAACATTCAAACAAGGCCTAAGCAGATATCTTTGTGTTAATAAGATATGAAACAGTCAGAAGAGTCGATGTACATAATCCAGGCAAGAGCACCATATAAGTAACTGTTGTCCTGAGAAGTGAAGCACGGGTATATGAGATCCCTGGAGAATTTCGCCAAAGGGTAGCAGTGCACCATTATCTGGAATGGCAAGAGTTTTCTCATGTTTTGCCTGTTGAACTGTAATGCAAATAGATAAAATAGGTAAACAGGTACTGCCTGAATATCTCAATAGAAAGCATGTGGATCTTATTATTCCCAGTGGCAGTAATCAATTGAAGGAGTAAAGAAGAAGAGAATTTGCATTAGAAGCAAGAACTCATAATAGAAAATGAGGGTGGGACATCAGTGGAGCATATTACGTAGCAAGCACGTAGGTTTTTGAAAAAAAAAACTAATAATTGTAAGCACAAATTTAATTTCCTGTATATTAAAACATTTATGAATTGGAGTTTCTTCTATTCCTCTTGGTAGTTCTAGCCTGTAGGGGCCTTTTTCTGAGGCAAAACTTGCAAGGGAAGATAGTACTGGACACATGCATTGATGCATATCAAGATATCTTTGGTGATTCTCTGTTTCTAAGTTTTTTCATTTGTCACATTGAAAGACAAAGGGAATTCCTTTGCTTTGAAAACTGTCAGGGAATCAAATGTCTTCATTGAGTTGGAGCCGGGTCACCTCTCAGGAATGATTCGATGCAGGAGGCAAACACATATTGGCCGTTGTTGAAAGAATCACCAACAAACAGCTGAATCGAAGCTGCAAGAAAAGGCATTTTCTTGTAAGATATTGTGCATCACAAAGATGAGTAACTACTACAAAAACTGCATAGGACAGTTAAGCAGCAGATTGTGGCACATTGCAGAAATCATGTAAAGCACTGGTACTCACAGGTCCAAAAAACAATATGGCAAAAGAATGTCTTAAATTGTTGTACAAATGTTGAGTCGCGAATCCTATTCAGTGATATTTGGCAACAGTGATTTCTATCTGCACATAAGTCAGAACGGCTTTTTTTCCATAAACAAAATACTACCTATATCTTCAGATCTAAAAATATTTCTGTTAAAAGTGTAGGTACGTACGTTTCCTTGATCATCTTTAGTTATTCTAACATCCGGCAACCAACAGGAGCCCTTGGGCATCTTTAACTATTCTAACATCGGCCAGATTTAATGGTTCACTTTAAACAATTTTAGACAATATCTTGTAGCCCAATGTAAGAATAGGGAGGTAATGTATCTCTGATTTAATTCTGTCCGTATCTGGGTGCTGCCTAAGTGAAGTAAGCAGGTATAGCCTGGAAATCAACATCAAAGTAGACAAGGTTCAAATTTTATTAAATATGCAGGCATCACCGAGCACTAATTATCACCAGTCCCTACAAAAATGCAGCATACATAATTTTTCATTGTAGGGAGAAGTATGCGTACAAAATCAATGCCATATAATACACGAACCTGCACAGAACCCATGATGAACTGACGAACCAGCAAGGCCGGGACACATCGTCCATGTTATGGGGCATCCTGAACCAGGACATCACATGGCAGCTGAAGAACACCTCGAGGGCGAGGAGCATATAATAGCAGGAAGATTAGATGGTCGATGGAAGAACTTGCAGCTTCCAAGGTAGAAAAAATTGAGCTATCTGTAAATGTTGTCAGTCTGGGTAAGCACAATAAGTCATGGATTTATGGTAAAACAACTGAATCTTCAATGATGATAGATCTTATTTAGATTAGACAAGATTAATATTTCTTTACATTGATCACATGGCTAATAAAATATTTATATAACTTTCTCGTATGGTCTCGCACAAGTGATGCAAGCCCTTTTTTGTTGGGTATTTGGATCTCATAGAAATAAGATCATCAGTAGCTAAAAACAAATTGAGAGAGATGTTTATAGTTTACCGGATTGTGAGACCGAGGAGTTTTCACATTGATCTGGAATTTTGTCTTCGAATAAATATTCTTCATGCAGATTATCTAAACCATCTCCATTGTTAACATCTTTATCATCCCCATCCTGCGAGTATTCTCCAGTAGAATTATTCAACCTATCCTGTGGAGATAACCCTGAATACATGCATTCAAGCAACTAATATGATAAAAGACATGTAGCAGTTAAGTGACATAAGCAGTACACTAACCCATCTATAAGCCCTAATAAGAGGCAAAACGACAGCACTGTAATCAAATGTAGAAACTTCCACGAGCTTGGTTTTTTGCCCAATTCATTATCCAATAGCAACATCCCAACATCTATAGACTCTGCCTGCATGTTTGACAGGGAAAATCTGAACATTAACAAAAATATATGATGAAACCTATGGAATCCACAAAAAGATATGAGATGCAGTGTTCGGGATTAGAGGATGCAAGGAGATCGGAGAAACCAAGGCTTACCTCAGAAGAAAGGCGCCACAAGTTTGACCAAAATTATAGAGAATTATAAAGATTTACAAAATCAAATAGGTATACTATGAAAATATAATTAATGAAAAATATAATGATACTTATTTAATATCATAAATGTTATTATTTTATTATATAAATTTAGTCAAACTTGAGATGTTTTGACTCTCCAAAAAAATTAGAATGACTTATAATTTGGAGTGGAGGGAGTAAATCGGATGGCAACGCCCGCAAGATTAAAAAAAATTCAATTTTTCATTTATTTATAAGGTGAAAATGGAGACTCGAATAAAAATTATCATGTAGTATAGTTAACATGGATTTCCCAAAATATTGACCATATTTTCCGGTTTCAAACGTTATAACGAGAACATAACGAAACGAAACCTTAACATAGTGAGTTTTCATTAACAAAAGGAAAATCATACGGAAAGTACACAGTTGGAGAGGAAAACATCAACACTGCACCATGTATCTGCCGAACGAATACAACAACAACAACAACAACAACAAAGCCTTTATATCCCAAACAAGTTGGGGTAGGCTAGAGTTGAAACCAACAGAAGCAATCAAGGTTTAGGCACGTGAATAGCTGTTTTCCAAGCACTCCTATCTAAGGTTAAGTCTTTGGGTATATTCCATCATTTCAAGTCTCCTTTTATTGCCTCTACCCAAGTCAACTTTGGTCTTCCTCTGCCTCTCTTCACGTTACTATCCTGACTTAGGATTCCACTACTCACCGGTGCCTCTGGAGGTCTCCGTTGGACATGTCCAACAAATATACTTCCAAAAAAATCAAACGCTCCTTCTTCATCAGGTCCTTTTACCTGAACATATACGGTAGAATTGTTGAATAACAGACCACCGAGAAGAAATCTTCCAAGAAAGCATGCACATGAAGTGAACTAACTGTTTTAGATAAGATCATATTTAGCCTACCTGTGGCAGGTGCGAGGACAGATATAAAATATATTAATTACATCATGCTTCGTTGTGGTCACAAGTGCTACATTCTGCATCATAACTCAGATATCATTATCTCATTCTTCATAAGTGCAACATTAGTTTTATTAAAAGCCATGATAAATATGCTGATACTGCGAGAGAAAATCTCACATCTACTTGACTTTTAACTTGCAGCTAATTTCCCAAGTGTAAACAGCAAGCCAAGACGGGTTTTTTTGAGATCCATGCATCCTTGTAAGATTTACTAACAATCAATACAGGCTGGCCCCTCCAAGAAAATGATACTTTGCAGGGAGAAATCTTATGTGTTCCCGACAAGTCCCTTTGCTTGAGAAGAGATCGATCAGCAACATTGTGGTTGAATGTTCAAGTGAGAAATTTCTCTCATCAATTTTGGACAGGTAAGTTCCAGCCCTGACTATTTCACGTTTCTCTAGTAATTCCCTAACCACATGATTCAGCAATCGAGAGTCAGGATCACAACCAGCATTCTCCATGGATGAAAACATATCGTCTGCCTCTTCCACCAATCCTTCTTTTATAAGATTTGTCATCATTACACTGTATGTCACAACAGAAGGCACCAGTCCATTTCCTGAGATCGAAGCAAACAAATCCTTGGCTTCTTCAACTCTCCTAGTTTGAAACATTCCAGCTATCATGGTAGTAAGAGTTTTGATATCAATCTTTACATTCATTGCACGTAGTTCTTTGAAAAGCAAGATTGCTTCATCAGAACAACTGTTTTTAAAAAGTCCATCAAGAACTATGGTGTACGTATTTGTGTGCGCTGAGATTCCACTTTCAGTCATTTCATGGAACATTTCCAATGCAGAAACTTTTCTCCCAGCCTGAAATAACCCATCAAGTATGATGTTGTATAAAATAGTTGAAGGCTTCATTCCCTTATGCAAAATTTCTCTGAAAAGTCTCAATCCTTCATCGATCCTTCCAACTTTACAATAGCCATTAACAAGTGTACCGTACACTACAACATTTGGTTCAATGCCAGCTGACACCATAGCATCAAATACTCTTAATGCTTTATCCATCTTGCCAACTAGACAGTACCCATCCATCAGCGTACTATACACCATAACAGTAGGATGCAGACCAATATTTACAGTTAAATCAAATATATGTTGTGCGTCCATTACCCTTCCCAGTTTGCAAAGGTTGTTTATTATAGAACTGAAGAAAACAATGTCAGGACGCATACCCTTATTCATCATTTCCAAAACCAATTCCTTGGCTTTTAGCGAACCACCATAAGTACAAAAACCTTGAATCAGGCAATAGTAAGTAGATATATTGGGTGCTACTCCTTGATCAATCATCTGATTAAATTTTTCCACAGCATCATCCAGCTTACCAATTCTGCAAAGTGCAGCTATCACTGTCGAATAGGTTACAACATTAGGTTTCACTCCTTGCTCCCTCATTTCATTGAAGATAATCATAGCCCTATCTAGCATTCCACTATTAGCATATGCCTTGATCAGCACATTGAAAATATGGATGTCAGGTGCAATACTGTCTCCTAGCATCGAATTGAATAGATTTGTCATATCAACTAGGCATCCTTTAGTAGCGTACCCGTTGAGCATAATTTGGTAGGAGAAAATATCAGGTTTTTGGCCCTTCATTGCCATTGAGTCAAAAACATCTCTAGCATCCTTGATTTTTTCATATTTGCAAAGGGAAGCCATTAACATGTTGAAAGTAACTACATCTGGTAAGATGCCCTGACTTGCCATGTCTTTAAATACCCTAACTGCCTCCTTCCACTGGCCCATAGAGGAATATCCATAGATCAAGTTATTATATGTCCTGTTATCTGGCAGAACACCTTTATCAACCATTTGTCGAAGGACAGCCTCTGCCTTGTCCATTGCTCTTGCCTTACACAGTGCATGAATGACGGAGTTATAAGTCACTAGATTAGGTGAAATGCCCCGCTGCATCATTTCATTGAATAGATCACATGCTTTAGCAACATCGCCCTCCTTAAAGAAGCCATTGATGACCGTATTATATGCGACCACGGTGGGCGAGCAGACAGCTCCCCTTCCAGCCATCATCCGTAGCATTTCATCTGCCTGGACACTCTTTCCTTCGTTGCAGAAGCTCTTCAGAAGTATGCAGTACGAGAAAACATCAGGCACACAACCCAACTCAGGCATTCTGTGGAGAAGGATGTCCAAAGCCTCGTCTGTCCGCTTTGCTTCACAAAGGCCCTTCAGAAGGTTGCTGATGATGATGGTATTGATGCCCAAGCCTGTCTTGAGGACCTGGCCGAAGACGGCCAGCGTTAGCTCCGGGCGGTGTGCGCGGGTGCAGCAGTCCATGAGGATGCCATAGGTGTGGACTGTGGGGGACAGCACCCGCAGGCCGTGAGCTCGAGAGGCGCGGTTGAAGAGTGCGACGACCAGGTAAGGGCCATCTCTGCAGGCGGCGGAGGCCGGTGCCCGCGCGAGCGCGGCGAGGAACACGTTCAGCTCGCGCCCGGGCACTGGGGTGGCTTGACGCAGCAATTCGTCGAACAGGTCGTGTGCCTCCTCAGGGCGGAACGTCCCTTTCCTCACGAGCGCCGTGGCGGTGGCGAGGGCGAGGTGGGGAGCGCGCGGTGACGGCGAGGTGCAAGCAGCGGTGGTGAAGACGGCGGAGGAGATGCGGGCAGATGACGACATTGCCGCGTGGGATTTGGGCGTCCTGGTTCCGCCGCTTGTCTCGTCCTCCGTTGAGAGGCCGCCCAGCGGCGCTAGAGCAGTCGCTGGCGAACCTCAACACGCGCAAGCGCCTACGATGTTTGGTGACGCCGGCTGGCCCGCCGCCGCCGGCAGTTGCCGTCACCGTGGGTTGCCCCCAGGTACAGTGGAGGCCATGGAGCTGGTGCTTCGTGGATTTGTGGGAAGAGGAGTCGTGGATCGAGGATGTTGCGTGCTCGCTTAGATGAGAGGCGCCGGCGGTGGAAGCCTCGGAGCTCGGCGGCGCGTCGCCGGCGAGGCACGGCGGACAGGGTCACGAAGAGAGTTTGTGCCTTCGGGGGATTGGGAAGTGGCTTACGGAAGATGTATCTTTTTTTTTTTAGAGAGAGAGGGGAACGGAAGATGTATCTAAGCGGTTAGGATCCTTCACCGATGTGCCTAATAATTTCTACTTTTATTCATTTTTGTTTAAATATAGTAAAAATACTCCTCATCCTAAAAAAGTAAATATACTCCTATGTCCCAAAAAGCACGTCTAGGATTTGAGGTGCAATTTAGTGTGAGTATAAAATTACATAGTTACTTCTATAAAGTGCAACTGACGTCTACAGACAGTTTATGGTCACATGTAGTAACGATTGAAGCAACAATAAAGAAGAAGCCAACAACAGATTTATGTGAACTAGTGGACCCGGAGCTTCTAGAGCCTTCGGAGGTTCTTCTTTTTCATTGGCGACTTGATTTTTTTTTATCTGAGTATATAAGACGTGACTCAGTAGAACTAAAACAGAGTATATGAGATGTAACTTCGGCACTACTATTCGGAAGGAGGAATATATTAGTTTGGAAGGTCAAGTAGTGTCTAGGAACGATACCTTTTGATATTTAGGATCAATGCTACAGAGAGACGGAGATATTGATGAAGATGTAAGCCATGGAATCAAAGCAGGGTGGATGAAGTGGCGCAAAGCATCTGATGTCCTATATGATAAAAGGGTACCACAGAAGCTAAAAAGTAAGTTTTATACGACGGTGATTAGACCTGCTATATTGTATGGTGTAGAATGTTGGCCTACGAAAAGACGACAAGTTCAACAGATAAGTGTCATGAAAATGCGTATGTTGCGTTGGATTTGTGGTCATACAAGAAAGGGTCGAGTTCGAAACGATGATATACGTGATAGATTAGGGGTAGCACCAATTGAAAAAAAGCTTTTCCAACACCGGTTGAGATGATTTAGACATGTCCAACGGAGACCTCCAGAGGCACCGGTGTGTAGTGGAATCCTAAGCCAGGATAATAACGTGAAGAGAGGTAGAGGAAGACCGAAGTTGACTTGGGTAGAGGCAATAAAAGGAGACTTGAAATGATAGAACATACCTAAAGATTTAGCCTTAGATAGGAGTGCTTGAAAAACAGTTATTCATGTGTCTGAACCTTGATTGCTTCTGCTGGGATTCAACTCTAGCCTATCCCAACTTGTTTGGGACTTAAAGGCTTTGTTGTTGTTGATTTTTTTCATCTCTTTGGTCCTGTGAACAAGGTTGCTGGTAGTCTGTAGCAGTAATGGTACTCTACACGCTGCGTGATAGATGTGATAGCCTATAGTGTACTTTTATTTGTGACAAATTTAATCCCGTCGAGAGAAGGTGTAGGTGGGATGCGAAGCTGGAAATTGTGGCTTCCCTCCGCTTCATCCTCACATTTGTGATCCCAGAGCGAAATTGCCCCCGGTGTGGCGGAGGGAAATATTTAGGCTAGCTTGAGCGCGCTGTCGAATTGGAGTGACACATCTTCAACACGGAGCCAACACCATCCATCGACTTCGAGGCAAAGTATGGCGTTAGGCCTGAGCGATAGAAAAGATAAGCCCAAACGCTAGATAGGAGCGTATATGAGGAGGTGAGGCTGAGGGCGGCGTCAGAGCCCAGGTGAGCAAGGGAGGGGGGGGGGTAGTGTCAGAGCCTAGCATGGGTGGTGAGTGTGAGCCCAAGCGGGGAGGTGAGGCGGAAGGCAGCATCCAAGAGTGGCAGTGGGCTTAGAAGAGAGAGGAGGCCGATGAGTCGAGAAGGACGGCAAAGATAAGGTGGATATAGATATTAGAAGAGATACAAGGTAAAATAAGAAAGAGAAAATAGAAAAAGGACAAGAAAAATAAAAGGGTATTATAAATAATTCACCATTTTCATCCACTAGAAAAAGCTATTTTACCCACGTACGTGGATGAGGATGATAGATGCTAGAACTTTGTTCCATTATCTATATATAAAGAAGCTATTTTATCAAATATTTTTTCTAAAAGAACTTTAGTTTAACCCTATCAGTGAAAGTTAGAAAAAGTTGCTCCACGGGCGAAACCAAACGCGTTCTAATTTTGGCATGGATGAGGACATTGGAGCGTTCGATTATGCGAAGTCGGTGATATATGGTACGAGATTGGACACTAGGACTGTCACACCCGGTTTTGTTTGTGAACCGCTACCAGAAGCCATGGCCCATGGAGTCCTCTAGGCTGCTTGAAATTCTCAAATTTGGAGCGAGCAAGGCTGAAGGAGCAGGAGGACGCCAGGGCCAGCAGGCTGTCTCTGCTCAACTTGTCGAGCAACCGCTTACGGATCGCTGCCGGCGTCCATCGGCAACTTCTCGTCGCTGCAGACGCTCCTCCTCGGCAGCAACCAGCTGGTCGCCTGGGCTGCAACTCTGCTAGATCTCGCGACAGGTCGAGCTGCTGAAGCTGGGAGCTCTGAGCAGCAACAACCTGACGATCCTTGGAGCTTCAAGGCATGACAATGCTGAATTCCTGATTTATCTGTGCAAACCTGTTTGGTAAGAGCATCTCCAACAACGCTACCTAAAACAGACCCTCTACTTCTCTGTTTAGGTAGCCACCTATCCTGGGACTACCCATTTTTTGTTGTTGTCTCCAGCAATACTATCTAAAACAGACCCTCTATTTTATTTTCTCACAATTGCATGTTGCCCCTCTGTGATCTACATTTCACATGAACAACACACCAAGAATAATCAAACGAATTCAAATAAAACCATTGTTGCATAATCAAACAAATTTAAATTCAACCATAATAATCAAACATGTCCACATACAACCATAAATAATCAAACATATGTCCACATACAACCATAAATAATCAAACTACGAGACACCATTGTATCAGCTGGTAGATCATATGCAAGCATACGGATTGAACCAACAACTTTCTGCAACGCAGTGGCACCAAGTAGCCCTGCAGCATTTGGCCTTTGCCTGAAATAGTCATCATGAGCTTCAACACCTTCAACAATCCGCAAAAATAGATTTCTTGACATCCGAAACCTTCTGCTGAAAAATTTCTCATTGTACACCGGCACATCTACAAAATAGTCAGCGACAATTCTCAAATTGCCACCATGTATGTCTCGCTGAGTCACCTGGCGTCCATGGACTAATCCATGACGCTTCTTCTTCTTCTACCTTCTCTCCTCTTCCTCATCATGTGCAATCAAGCTCAAGATAAGAGCATCATCATCGGACTCGTCATCGTCCTCGAAGAATTGGTTGAAAATGTTATCTTCGTCATCATCAAACAAAACCATCTACACATGACCATAGTTTCACATATAAAATTCAGACTTCATATGGGAGTAGTTTCAGACAATTTCGCACAGTAGGGCGTCATACCTTGCAGTCAGGGTGGATGCTTCTTCTTCCAGTCGACGTCGGGTGGGGTGGCGGGGGACCTCCCGGCCGGGCGCGCAAGGGCTGGGGAGGCAGCGTCAGCGTTGGGCGGGGTCGGGGGAGGAGGCACGCAAGGGTCGGACGAGGAAGAGGTGCTGGTGGGAGGAGGACGAATGGACAGGATGGAGGAGCAAGGGGCGGCGAGATCCGGGGCTGGCCGGGGAAGAGGTGCCGGCGATGGCCGAGCAAACCCCGGCGGCGACGCAGGCTACGGAGGCCACGACTCAAGCGAGTTGCACGGGGCGAAGCGTCGAGTGGAGGAGAAACAAGAAAAAAAGTAGGGTGAATGGAGTAGGGGGCAACAAAAGTAGGGGGTTTTGAGGAGAAAGTAGGGGGCCAATAAAAATAGGGGGTGTAGTAGGGGTCTGCCTGAATTGTTTTTTTACCCCCACCACTTAAAACCAGAGTAGGGCAAGTAGGGGACATTGCTAGAGATGCTCTAACGTATACAAAAGCAATTCATTTGGGTATACTCTTCAATTGAGTTTTGAGAAACTGAGAGCAAGAAGCCATCCATTCTGCTAGCGTTCTTCTAATGAAGGCAGAAATTCTCGTAACAGAATTTGAGTTCAAAAGCCCATTATTGGCAGCAATTTTTTTGGAAAAAGAAGATTTTATTTCATTCCAAGATTAGTATATCAAGTTTATGGGCAGCAAATGGACAACTATATGTAATTCCTAGTGATTTGCATTATCCCTTATGAAAATCTCTCCCTCTCCCGAGCGCCCCCAACGGGCGACTCGGGGGCACTCGCCGGCGCAGCCCCAGCGCCCCGCTCCTGCCCCTCTCTGGCCGCCGCCTCCCTCCAGCGTGAAGCGGCGGCGGCCCATGACGGTTCAAGCACAACCGGCAACCGTCGCAGCCCCCTTCTTCCCTCCCCCGTTACTCCACCACCCCTCCTCGGTCCACGCCACTCCGGTGGGCTGGCCGGCCATGGCAGGGCGGATCCGCCTCCCCCGGTCACGGATCTGGCCTCTCACGGTGGTCGGCGGCCTCCCCCCTCGTCGGCGCTGCTCCTCCCAATCCGGCGTCCTTCATGCGCGTGGGGGCGCGCATGGGCTGCTCCGGGCACCCCCCCTGCTACCTCTGGCGGCGGTGGTGGTGAAATCCCTCCACAGGTTCGGATCTGGCCACCCGCGGATGGTGGCCCCCCCCTTTTGGCTCGGTTCCTCCCACTCCGGCGGCCGCCGTGCTTGCGGGGGCGCCCTCCTGCTATCTCCGGTGGGTAGGCTGGCCGGTGGGGC